TGTGGGCGCCTACGTCTACTTCAGGCGCACCCATGTCAGGCCAGGTGAGTCTCCTGCCCTGTACCATCGTTGGTTCGGTGTTGCGCGTGTCATCGGCCACGACTACCGCGACCCCGAGAAGATGGCGGACGGCATCGAGTCCACGCTCCGACCTGCGGCCGTGCAGGGGAGCCCTCACGCGATTTGGCTACGGTATGGCGGCGGTACGGTCTTGGCAAGGCCGGAGCAGCTTCGGTTCGCGACGGAGGACGAGTTGATCACCTGGGATCGGATGCCTGCTGATCAGCGTGGAGCGGCACTTCCACGAGGGCCTCGAGGGTTCCTGGACGTTCGTCGCGAAGGCCTCGAGGACGGAGCACCTGAGGATCCCGAAGCTGCTGCGCTACCAGGCAGGGAACCTACGGCGGCTACTGCCGCGACTGGTCCGCGCCCGGAGCCTCCAGCGTCGAGAACTACGGAGGCACCGTCGGGCAGTACACAGCCTGCCGAGGGAGCCGACACGGCTAGCACACCACTACAAGGGCGCGACGCAGCTCAAGATGATCCGCGACCTGGAGAGGATCTCACTCCCGGAGTTCCAGAACATCAGCCAGCAGCTCAGCTACCTGAGCCAGTACTACGTCAGGGACACGACCCAGCACCTGCCGGGCTTGATCCAGGATCTGGCGAGGCTGAAGAAGGAGAAGTGGAGGAGATGAACGAGGATAACGACGCGACGGCGACTCCACCTCCTCCTGAACTTCCCGAACCTTCCGAACTCCCAGATCTCCCAAGGCATCTCGAACCACCCGAATTACCTGAACGGCTACCTGGATACGGGCCACAGCGGACCCGCGCTCGACTACATCGTGGTGGCGGCCCCATGGCCGGTGGAGCGTACCTTGCTGAGTACGACTCGGACGAGGTGTACCACGGCTGGATAGCCTATGCGTGGTTAACGGGACGCTCCCGCGGGAAGGAGATCAACCTGACGGACCTGACCAAGGCCGAGCGGAAGGAGTTCGAAGCGAGCATGGCCAAGGAGTGGGAGAACTGGCGTAACTTCAGGGCGGTGACCGTGGTTATCGGAGACGATGCGAAGGAGCTGCTGAAGAGGGCGAAGCCTATTCCGTCAAGGTGGGTTCACACCAACAAGAACGAGTACGACCCCAAGCTACCGCTCAAGGCGAAGTCGAGGCTGGTGGCGGTCGGCTGCTACGAGTCGGTGCATGTCCGGACGGACTCGCCCACGTCTTCCCTGCTGGTGTTCCACTTGATCTGCAGCACGGCGGCGAGGAAGCACTGGTTACTATCGAAGCTCGATGCGACGAGCGCCTACCTACAAGGAGACGATGTTGACCGTATGCTGGTGCTACGACCGCCCTCACCACTGCCTCCTGGAGTACCACCTGGCTCCCTGTTCGTGTGCCACGGGGCGATCTATGGCACCAAGGATGCTGGGCGGAAGTGGTGGAGTAAGCTACGAAGGACGCTGCGCGGCAACTCGTGGCAGGAGAGCCGTTTGGAGAGAGCCTTCTTCATGCTCTTCGAGGGTGACGTCCTCGTTGGCCTTATTGGCACATACGTGGACGACCTGTTCGCAACCGGAGATCCGAACAGCAAGCTTTACGGCGACACGATGGACGAGCTCAAGAAGATGCTGCTCTTGACGGAGGAGAAGCCACCCTTCAGGTATTGCGGCAAGGATGTGGAGCAGGCAGAGGATTTCTCGATCAAGGTCTCGATGCAGCACTTCGTGGAGCAGATGGAGGAGTTGCCGATGTTGCCGACCAGGCGGAAGCAGATCAAGGCGCTGGCTACGGACGAGGAGAAGAGCTTTGCGGAGTCGGTGATTGGTTCACTGGGATGGCTCTCGCGACAGCTGCGGATGGATGTTTCTTTCGGCTACAGTTGGCTCGCACAGCAGAAGAACACCATGACGGTGCAGGACCTGCTGGAGATGAACAAGCTGGTGCGGTACTGCCATGAGACGAAGGGCGTGTGCCTACACTTCCGTAGCGACTTCATCAAGGACGACGCCGACCTTCGGGGGTGCGTGTTCGCCGACAGCAGCCTCAACAACATCGACGAGAAGAAGTTTGGAGCGCTGGGCGAGAAGGTGAGGTCGCAGTGCGGTTTTGTGTGCCTGTTGTGCGACAACGGCCTGTATAAGGAAGGCGGTGGGCCTGCCCATTTCTTGGACTGGGGCAGTTCCAAGATCCGGAGGGTCTGCCGAGCATCAATGGCGGCAGAGGCCCACGGTCTGACCGAAGGCGCAGAGGCGCTTGAGTGGATCAGGGCATTGTACTACGAGATGGACAAACCCGACCAGCCGATCGCGGAGTTGGTTCATGACAGTGCGACGTTGATGCCAGTCAAGTGGTTCGACGACGCTAACAGCCTGGTGAGCCACTTGCTGGCGGACGCTGGTCAGGTCGCTGATCGCCGAGTTCGAGTGGTGGTGGCATCTCTTCGAGAGCTTCTAAGCCAAGATGGAGTCGACCTGGAGTGGTGTGACACCAGTGTGCAGCTGGCGGACGCGCTGACGAAGCTCGAGGCGGAGAGGAGCTACCTGACGAACGCCATGCGCGACGGCTACGTGACGATGACCGTCTCCTCCGAGGCGGCGGCCACGAAGGAGGCCGTACGTGCTGCACGGCGACGCCGTGCTGATGAGCGTAGGACTCAGCCCGTCGCATCTGTGCGCGAGAGCCTGTCCTGTGCTAGGCGTGCTCCGCGCGGGGACCAGCCCCGCGTGGCTTCGCGATCTACCTAGATCGCCTTTCATATTCGGCCCAGTTGGGCCGCTTCCGTATCAATGAAGCTATGCTCGGAATCCTGGATTTCGGCCAGGACGACAGCGAGGACGGGTGTTGAAATGGACACTGTCCCCCTGGCCCCCCCGAGCTGCCCCTCTCACGCCGACGCCGATTCGACCGCAACCGTTTCGGTTTCAGAGCTCTTGAGTTTCGGGCAGAAAGGACTTTCAGCTTTCTCTCGACGGCGGCAGCCGTCAGTTGAGAGGAGGAGGAGGAGGAGGAGGAGGAGGAGGAGGAGGAGAAGGAGGAGGAGGAGGAGGAGGAGGCGGAGGAGGAGGAGGAGGAGCAGGGGGGGGGACAGAGGTGCACTTCTCGGGCCCCCTAAAAGGCCCCCTGCTGGGCGTTGAAGGACCCCATGCGGGGGGCCCAGAAGGGCCCTTCTTGCAGCCCTCGCTGCCCCCCCATCTACGGTCGGGCTGCAAGGAACGAAGCCCCTCTGCGGCTCCAAAAAAGCCTGGGTGCACGAGGAGGGATAAAGGAACAACCACTGAAGGACGCAAGGAACATCGAGCCCCTTCCGAATCCAAACTGTTCCTTATTTCAGCGTCTTGGCTCGTATCGCCCGCCCAACACGCGAGGCCCCATCGGGGCTATCAAAGTGGATCCGCGACGACGAGCTGCCCCCGGGGGAAAAGGGGGCGCGCCACCTCTGGGGCCGTGGCTTGGAAAACATCGCGTCGGCGGATGCCAGGGGGGGGGGAGCCCACGAGTATGCTTCTTATTACGATTCGTATGATCATGAAAAAAAGCTGGGCATGGTTAATAGCATTCTAACCATTGTTAGTATTGATTGATTGTCTTCCAGTCTCCTTATGATTGAGACTGGTATTGTTGTTATAGATGATAGGGGGCCACATGCGAACCCTACCCCTACCCCCCACACGACTTCTGAGGGGGAGGGCGGGGTTCACTTCGCACGGGAGCTCCCCAACAAAGTGAACCCCACCCTCCCCCTCAGAAATCGTGTGGGATAGGGGTACCCCTATGCTATTAGCTCTCTTATTCTTATTCCCCAATCAGTGCTTGCACTGAAAGGGTCCTAGCGGATCTTGAAAGACTTAGTGGAAATTGGCGGCCGATTTCGGTAGGCGGCCGGGTTCCCGGGTTCCCGGTTCTGGGTTCCTATGTTCCCAATTGTTGGTTCCAGGCCGATTTCGGTGGGCGGCGGGGTTCCATGGTTTCCTGGTTCCCGGAACCCTGATCGATCTCCTTACACCCCATCGATCGCACTACCCGCCTCTCTATCGATCTCACAATCGATCTCACAATCGATCTCGCAATCGATATCACTTGTGCGATCTCTCGATCGATTTCACTATCATTCTCACTGAACCGGCTTCACGATGGGTCTCACGATCGACCCTACTATCGTCCTCATTCTCGATCCCACAATCAATCTCACGATCGATCTCACAATCGATCTCAATATCCACGTCACGAACTTCCAAACCATCCACGGATTGGGGCTCTCTCTGGTGTAATGATGAGAATACTTCCTGGTATGAATCGACTCTCGGAAAGCAGGGGGGGGGCCTCTTGGAAGCCCTCGCGTCCACCGAGAGGCCACCCTCGAGCCTCCCGATGCTCCCCTGAGACTGTCGCAGGGCACCCTCGACCTCCCGAACCCCCCGCGCCCCCGGCCCGGCCCCGCCGCGCGCGCCGCCACGTGGGCGACGAAGAGAAAAGGGTCCCGCGCACGATGGCATCGCGACCTCACGCCGTGGCTTACGCATAGAGGAAAAAGAACTATGCACATACACCGATTCTGGCCAGGCCCATCCTGAGCCCAGGATCGGTGCATACGCCCTCCTACCTTGGCCAGGAAGGCATATGCACCGATCCTGGGTCAAGGATGGGCCTTGCCAGGATCGGTGCATGTGCATAGTTCCCTTTGCCCGATACGCAGGCCGCCAGGGTGAAACACCGCGCGGAGAAGAGGGCGCCTTGCAGCGGAGGCCAGTCCACAAGAGACCTTCCGCAAAAAAACCCAACCCCGAGACCCCAGGGAGACTTCCTCTGGTGTTTGGTGTGGGCACGCCACGCCCTCCATCGCAACACCATCGAGAACCCAGGAAACCCAGGGCACCCTGGAAGCAAGAATGGTGCTTCTTGGCATGGGCCCCCACTGTACGCGCGACCTCTCGCGGGAGCAGCGTTCGCGCGATGCCCGCGCCGCCAGCCCTGTTTCTCTCAGTCGCCCAGGCAAGGGCACGCCTCCCACGCCAGCCACGCTGCCCTCTGTGGCTGCACGCAGGAGCGACTCTCGGCGAGCACTCGCCGTGGAAGGAGACGGCATGCATGCGGTAAGTTGCTCGACTTGATCAACTACAGAGCTCTTAACTACACCGTTCGGCGCGCAGTGGCAAGAAGTTTCAGTTCGAAACCACTAGGGCGATGACATTCCCGGATAGCTCGTAGAGAACTAGGAGGGTTTCATATCAAGTAACCGGAGCCGCAGGGTTGCCCTGGAGCTCGTTTCGGCTTCCGGCAGGAAGCCTCGGCGGGGCTCCTGTGACCTTGCAGCGTGTCCCGGCAGGCCTTTTCTAAGCGCTTCCCAATGCGCGCGCCCAGAAGCTCTCCAGAAGGTCCTTCGGAAGCTCTGCCCAGGTGTTCCCAGGGTTCTTCGACAGGCCTTCCCACGCCCTCTCTGCGCCCTGCTCTCCGGGTTTCGGAAATCCGCAAGTCGGTGCCTCCGTGTCAGGTGCAGTCGGAGAACCAGGTCGACCATTTTCGGAAGCAACTGCTGGGAGGTCTTCGCCGGACAGATTAAGGAGGATTAAGCCCCATTGTGGGGGGGCTGTTACGCTGGAGTGGGCCTCGGATTAAGCGGGATTAAGCGGGATGAAGCGGGACAAAGCTGGAAAAAGCGGCATCAAGCCGGATTAAGCCGGATTTCGGACCAGGGCAAAAACAGAATTTGACCTCCCAGGAGTGGCATCCGAAGGAAGGGGAAGGAGGGAGGGAGGGAGGGGGAGGAGGAGGGAGGGAGGGAGGGAAGGGAGGGGAAGGGGAGGGAGGGAAGGAGGAGGGAGAGGAAGGAGGGAGGGGAAGGTGAGGAGGGGGGAAGGGGGGATCTCGGGCCCGGGCAAAATCGGAATTGGACCTCCCAGGAGTGGCATCCGAAGCCACCGGTGCGCGGCCTGCCGATCGCTGCGCGCGGGCAGCAGCCGGCCGCCCGCAAGCCCGTGCACCGCAGGCCCCTCCGGCGAGGGGCCGCTCGGCCTTCGGGCCGTCGACTGGGTCTCCAGCGGCCGCTCGGGAGGCGAGGAGGGGGAGGAGGAGGGGGAGGAGGAGGGGGAGGAGGAGGAGGAGGAGGAGGGGGAGGAGGAGAGGGAGGAGGAGGAGGAGGAGGAGGAGGAGGAGGAGGAGGAGGAGAGAGGAGGAGGAGGAGGGGAGGAGGAGGAGGAGGAGGGGGAGGAGGGGCGGGAAGGAGGAGGAGGACCAGCCAAAAACGCAAGAGTCATCAACGATGTCGGAATAAGCCCTCCCCCAAGCTCCCTCTTCGCAGGCCCCATACAACGGCTCATTTCCACAGGGAACTGCCTCGTTGGAAGACATCCGCTTGAAGACCCTGAAGCATGCCACAGCATTGTTGATTCCAACGCCACGGATCAACTTGACGGTTGTGTCTCGACGATATTGAATCCTGCCTGAACGCCATTCCTGGGACTTCACCTGGGACTTCAACACAGCGAATCAGCGTAACTGTTGCACCCCCTGAATCCTTCCAAAACACAATGCCTGGTACGCTGACCATGGGAATCCGTGAAATCCTTGCAAAAATCACAAACGAATGCGCGCGGCGCTCAGGCGAGAATCACATTTTCAGAAGGAACCGCCCTCAATCTGCGAAGCTGTTGCAATTGTTTACAACGAGTGTGCGCGGCGCTCAGGCGAGAGCCACATTTTGGAAACCACCCGCCCCCAATCCGTCAAACTCTTTCATTTTGTTCAAGAAAAAACAGCAAGGCGAGAACCACATTTTGAAGACGGCCCGCCCTCAATCCGTGAAGCTCTTACAAATGTTTAAAACGAATGCGCGCGGCGCTGAGGCGAGAGCCACATTTTGAAAAACGGCCCGCCCTCCATCTGTGACACTGTCGTCAATGCTTAAGCTTCAGGGTCAAAAATGGCAAGGAAGTCTCAGGCGAAACGCCCGGGCCGCCCAAAAATGCTGGCCTCGGGTTGCGACAAGGAAAGGTGACTCATAAGGAGAAGGAATGGAGGAGGAGGCGGAGGAGGAGGGGGAGGAGGAGGAGGAGGAGGGGGAGGAGGGGGAGGAGGAGGAGGAGGCGGAGGAGGAGGAGGAGAGAGGAGGAGGAGGAGAGAGGAGGAGGAGCAGTAGGAGGAGGAGGAACCCCCGAACCCCTGGGACCCCCGACTAGGAAAAATAATTCACAAGGAGAAGGAGTGGAGGAGGCGGAGGAGGGGGAGGAGGAGGAGGAGGGGGAAGAGGGGGAGAGGAGGAGGAGGAGGAGGAGGAGGAGGAGGAGGAGGAGGAGGAGAGAGAAGGAGGAGCAGGAGGAGGAGGAGGAGGAGCCCCCGAAACTCTGAGCTCAGGGCGTCGCCGTTGTTTTCCTGCACCGGACGTTCGCTCTCGCACGGTCTCGGCCTCTCGGGGCCGCTGCACGCTCGGTCCTGCTCAAGGAGTGCCGCGGAAAAGACGGGCCCTAGGACTGCGGCCGTGGAACACACAAACACACACACACACAAACAAACACACACACAGAACAGCAACAACAAAACAAACACACAAACACACAAACACACAAACACACAAACACACACACACACATACACACACAACAACAACAACAACAACAACAACAACAACAACAACAACCACCACCACCACCACCACCACCACAACAACAACAACAACAGCAACAGCAAAAACAACAACAACAACAACAACAACAACAACAACAACAACTACAAGCACACAAACACACACACACACACAAACACACACGCACACACAACAACAACAACAAAGCAAACACGTGTGGAGAAACACACACACGCTGTGGAAAAAAACAGCACGGTGGGGGAAAAACGAGCTGTGGGAGAGAACACACACACACGGTGTGTGTGTGTGTTGTGCGTGTTGTGTGTGTGTTGTGTATTGTGAGTGTGCGTACGCGTGCGTGTATGTGTGCGTGCGTGTTTCCATCCGCCAGCGCAGTCACTCTGCCCAGCCGCCGACTCAAAAAGTGGGTGTGTGTGTGTGAGTGTGCGTGTGTCTGTGTGCGTGGGTGGGTGTGTGTGTGCTTGTGCGTGTGCGTATGCGTGTGCGTGTGCGCATGTGTGCGTGCGTGTGCATGTGCGTGTGCGCGTGCGTGTCCCCGTGCGTGTGCATGTGCGCGTGCGCGTGCGTGTGCGTGTGCGTGTGCGTGTGCGGGTGTGTGCGGGTGTGGCGGTGTGCGGGTGTGCGGGTGTGCGTGTGTGCGTGTGTGCGTGTGTGCGGGTGTGCGTGGGTGCGTGTGTGCGTGTGTGCGGGTGTGCGTGTGTGCGTGTGTGCGTGTGTGCGCGTGTGCTCGTGTGTGTGTGTGTGCGATTGTGTGTGTGCGTGTGTGCGTGTGTGTGCGTGTGAGCGTGTGTGCGTGCGCACGTGTGTGTGCGAATGAGGGTGTGTGTGTGTGTGTGTCTGTGTGCGCTTGTGTGTGTGCTTGCGTGTGTATTTGTGTATGTGATTGTGTGCTTGTATGCTTGAGTGTTTGCGTGTTTGTGTTTGTGTGTTTGTGTGTGCGTTTGTGTGTGTGTGGGGGTGTGTAGGTGTGTGTGTGGGTGTGTGTTAGTGGTGCGTGCGTGCGTGCGTGCGTGCGTGCGCGCGCGCGTGCGTGGGTGTGTGAACGTGCGCGCGTGAGTGCGTGGGTGCGTGAGTGCGTGGGTGCGTGGGTGCGTGGGTGCGTGGGTGCGTGGGTGCATGCGTGCGTGAGTTCGTGCGTGCGTGCGTGTGCGTTGTGTGCGTGTGTGCGTGTGTGCGTGTATGCGTGTGTACGTGTGTGCGTGTGTGCGTGTGTACGTGTGTGCGCGTGTGCGCGTGTGCGCGTGTGCGCGTATGCGCGTGTGCGCGTGTGCGCGTGTGCGCGTGTGCGCGTGTGCGCGCGTGCGCGTGTGCGCGTGTGCGCGTGTTCGCGCGTGCGCGTGTGCGCGTGTGCGCGTGTGCGCGTGTGCGCGTGTGCGCGTGTGCGCGTGCGCGTGTGCGCGTGTGCGCGTGTGCACGTGTGCGCGTGTGCGTGTGCGCGCGTGTGCGCGTGTGCGTGTGTTCGTGTGCGTGTGCTCGTGTGCGCGCATGCGCGTGCGCGCGTGCGCGCGTGCGCGCGTGCGCGTGTGCGCGCGTGTGCGCGCGTGCGCGCGTGCGCGTGTGCGCGTGTGCGCGCGTGCGTGTCCCCCTGCGTGTGCATGTGCGCGTGCGTGTGCGCGTGCGCGTGCTTGTGCGTGTGCGTGTGCGTGTTCGCGTGTGGGTGTGTGCGTGTGTGCGCGTGTGAGTGTGTGCGTGTGTGCGTGAGTGCGTGTGTGCGTGTGTGCGTGTGTGCGTGTGTGCGTGTGTGCGCGTGTGCGTGTGAGCGTGTGGTGTGCGTGTGTGCGTGTTTGCGTGTGCGCGCGTGTGCGTGTGCGTGTGTGCGTGTGTGCGTGTACGTGCGTGTGTGTGCGTGTGTGCGTGCGTGTGTGTGTGTGTGTGCGTGTGTGTTCGTGTGTGTTTGCGTGTGTGTGTGTGTGTGCGTAGGTGTTCGTGTGTGTGTGCGTGTGTGTGCGTGTGTGCGTGAGTGTGTGTGTGCGTGTGCGTGCGTGCGTGCGTGCGTGCGTGCGTGAGCGCGTGCGTGCGTCCGTGCGTGCGTGCGTGCGTGTGTGAGTGGTTGTCCTGTGTGGGGTGTTGTGTTGTGTGTTATGTGGTATGCGTTGTGTGCTGTGTGTTGTGTGCTGTGTGGTGTGTGTTGTGTGTAGTGTGTTGTGTGCCGTGTGCTACAGGTTGCGTGTTGTGTGTTGTGTGCTGTGTGTTGTGTAATGTGTGTTGTGTAATGTGTGTTGTGTGTTGTGTATGAGGTGTGCGTGGTGTGCTTCGTGTTTTGTGTTGTGGTGTGTGGTGTGTGGTGTGTGGTGTGTAGTGTGTGATGTGTGTGGTGTGTGTGTGCGCGTAATTGTATGTGCGTGTGTGTGTGTTGTGTGATGCGTGTATTGTGTGCTGTATGTTCTGTGTTGGGTGAGTGTTGTGTGTGTTGTGTGTTGTGTGTGTTGTGTGTAGTGTGTAGTGTGTTTGGGTGTGTGTGTGTTATGTGTGTAGTGTGTGTTGTGTGTTGTGTGTGATGTATGTGCTGTGTGCTGTGTGTGTTGTGTGTAGTGTGTTGTGTGTGTCTTGTGTGTTGTGTGTTGGTTGTGTCATGTGTTGTGTGGTGTGTTGTGTGTGGTGTGTCCTGTGTTGTGTGCTGTGTGTGTTGTGTTTGTTGTATGGCGTGTGTTGCGTGGTGTGTATGTGTATGTGTATATGTGTGTTTGTGTGTGTGTTTGTGTGTGTGTTGTGTGTGGTGTGTTGTGTGCGTTGTGTGCGCTGTGTGTTGTGTGTTATGTGTTGTGTGTTGTGTGTGTTGTGTGAATTGTGCGTGTGTTGTGTGTTGTGTATGTGTTGTGTGTGTTGTATGTTGTGTTTTTTGTACGTGTGTGTTGTTGTGATTGTTTTCCACAGCCTCCACGTGATGCTGCATTCGTTTGACCACGTCGGAGCTCAGGCAGTGAGCGCTCTCGGCGAGGCGGGGCTGCCAGAGCGCATACGCCGAGGCAGGAAGGCCGCCCGGAGCCGACGAGAACGGCCGAAGACGTCCGGCCGCGCACCAGAGGTCACTCGGGCGAGGGGCCACTCTTTTATCGGTTGGCGGCGCGCACAAGGTGGTGGGGGGAGGGGGGAGGGCTTCTTAGAAGCAGGCTGCTTCTTAGAAGGCGCCGGCCTGACATCTACAGAGAAGGCCCGCGCCCTCTAAGAAGCAGGGGTGCTTCTAAGAAGCCCTCCCCGCTCCCCCCACCCCCCTCTGCGCGTGGCTGACTTTTCTCGGGCCTTCACCCGAGCACCCCGAGAAAGCTCCTGGCGAGGCGCAGCCACTGGAGCGCATCCCGAGGAAGGAGAACCTCCAGAAGCCCACGAGAACGTCCGAGGACGTCCAAGCGCGCACCGGAGGTCACCCCGGCGAAGGGCCACCACATCGGAAGGACGTGATAAGAGGTGAGGTCGGACCAGAGGTGGGGTTAGCATAATCGCGTCGGACAACCCATTGAGGAGGGACATCTCAGCCTCAAGCTGGGTTTGTTGCCTACCTCTTGGGCTAAACCCCGCTCTGCGCTCGGCCAAACGCAAGAGCGACCCCAGGCAAGAGGTCTCTTCGGTGCGCGGGTTCGAGGGGACGTGGAAAGTGTTGGAGGCGGGAGGGATAGGGGGGCAAACCCATGCGTGCGAGAGGTCTGTTTCGCATCGCATTCAGCAATCGGGGAACACCAGTGGGCCCGCACCACATGGGACGCAGAAGGACTTACGACGGCACAGCTGTAGTACTATGCGCCCGAGGCGCACGTACGAACTGAACATACAGCACAAACGTCTCGTAGTATATCGTTACCCAGGCAGTATGGACAGAAAGCGCCCGCCGAGGAACACGTAATTACAATGAGAGTTCTGAGCGCGCGTGTCGACTCCTTGGGGGGCGATGCGCACATAATATCAGTAAGTTGGGGTGATGCCGACTAAACCGTGAGATCTGACGTTGCAAAAAAAAATCCAACATCGCGAAAAATCGCGATCGGAACCCTAGATCCCATCTTGCTGCCGAATTTCTCGAGCCGAATCGATCCATGAGGGTCCCGCGTCCCGAAATTATGCTAAAAAGCCCGTTGCGGACAAAAAAAAAAAAAAAACGCCCACATCTCACCAAAGGCCAGTCCGGCAAAGGGTCACTCTTGCGTGTAGCCGACACGCACGTCTCTTGCGCGCAGCCGGCCTCAGCCCGCCGTCACGGCGATCGCCCTCGGTGCGCCCGACCGACTCGGCCGCCCACGCGGCCGCGTGCCTTGGTTGGAGGCCTCCCAAATGGGGTCCGAGCAGCTGGGGTCGGAGAATCGCACCGTACCGCCGATGCATCGGCGCGATACCATCGGATATGCATCGGCGGTGCGTCGGCGGCGCATCGGCGCCGTCGGCATGGAGAAAATATGATTCCATATCGAGCCGCACCGCCGACGGGTCGGCGCTGCGGCGCGATCCTCCGACCCCATCTGCTTTGCCCCTATCTGGGAGGCCCAGCAGCCGACAAGACGGCCTCGGCCAGAGATGCCTGAGAACATCTTGAGCAGACCACAGAACATGACCAGAGCATGCCTGGTGGGCGTACGATGGGCGCGGGAACAAACTCTCGACGTCGGCGCTGCCCGCCGAAGCTCGAGAGCGGGGAAGGCGAGGGCCTTGGGGCCCCTCCGAGGCCCCAGGCCTGGCCCACACCGGCGCGCTCCCTCGAAACGCCGACCACGGCGCCCACTGTGTGGTCTGAGTCGGCCGAAGTTCCTGCCCGCGCTCAGCTCGCCATTGCTCGGAGGTCCACTCCCCGTGCACCGTTCGGTCCCGTGCGTGCCTTTGTTTTGGCTCGATGGCCCAAGATGCTCCACGATGGTCCTCATCGAGAAGAAACGCACACCTTCGAGCGATGCCAAGTCAATACCCACCGGTCGGAAGAAGTAGGTAGAAACACGAAGTAGGAAGGCGTTGAAAGTAGATTGGGTGTCCGCCCGCCCCCTGAAGGGGACGGGAAAGGTGAAGCCGCTCGATCCCTGAAGCAGGAAGGCGCTGAAAGCAGATTGGAACCTGGGATTCCAGACATACCTACTTTCAACGACCGATGGGTGCCTGCAGACCAGGAGGAGGAGGAGATGGAGGAGGAGGAGGAGGTGGAGGAGGAGGAGGAGGAGGAGGAGGAGGAGAGTGGAGGAGAAGGTGGAGGAAGAAGAGGAGGAGGAGAGGGGGAGGAGGAGGGGGAGGAGGAGGAGGAGGAGGGGAGGAGGAGGAGGAGGAGGCAGGACGCTTCGTCTCTGCGTGCCTGCGCATCGCCTCCACCGCGCGCGGGGCCCACTCCCCGGGGGCGCCGCCGGGGGCGCCCGGGGCGCGCCCGAGCGGCTCCGCAGAGGCGCGCGCGGCCTGCGGGGCGTGCTCGTCGGGTGCGGCCGCGTCGTGCGGGGCGCACTCGGCCGGGTGCTGCCAGGGATGCCCCCTGGCAGATGCTCGCTCGGGGGCCTTTGAAGGGGCCCCAGGACACACAAATAAACACACGAATAAAATGATTCCCCATATTTTTTGAGTTTTTGTCTTCCCCCCCACTTCCCATGTTTTCCCATATCTTCCTGGGAGCGGACGATTCATTGTGTCTGTGTGTGTTTTTCCCCTCCTGAGCCTTCCTGGAGCCACTCGCTCCACTCGCGCGTCGATGCTGCGTCGGACGTCCGTCGACGTCAGTCGAGCGTGAGCAGAACTCGAGCCGGGCGAGAGCCGCGCCAGGGTCGAGCTGGACTCGGAGTAGAGTCGAGCGGATCCGATAGGTGGTCCCCAGGAAGCCCCTCAAAACGAACGTCTAGCCCACAAGGCCAAGGTCAAGACAAAGCCAGGATCGGGACGAAATCGGACCAGTATAAATCGGAGATCTCCAAGATCGGCGATGGACAAACCTCCCTTTAGTACACCTCCCCTTAGTGAAAACGGCCTGGGACCGAAACCAACGGACCTGGACCCGCAAAAATGACGGCCGCGACGCCCTCTCGCGAACCGAAAACGGCCAATTCCTTGATCGACGTGTCAGGGTAGGAGGTCTGTCCACCCCCGATAAGATCTCGTGGTCCTGGAGGATGTATCGGGCGCCGCGGCCGTTCCAGAGCGTTCTCGGACTCTCCAGCCCCGCCCGACACAGGCCAAGGCGATCCCGAGATTTCAAGGGAGGCCATGGGCCCCAGACCTCCTCCCGCGTCCTGGAAGGACAGGGGCGACGAACAACGCTCTTGACAATTTCCAGCCTCCGGGTCCCTCGCGGGGCCCCAGAGGACCGCCGGAACAACGACTCTGACTACCTACCAGACCACCCCAACCCAACCCGAAGACCCGAATTTCGGGTTGGGGGGGGGTATGGGCTCCATATGTGTTTTTTCGATGTTCCCGGACCCCCCCACACTAGAAATCGAGGGTAAATCTGACCCTTCGGGTTGGGTTGGGGTGGTTTGGTGGGTGGTGAGACTCTGGCTGAAGAGCCGGTCCCTGGGGAGGGGTCGAGGCCCCAGGGGAGCGCTGCGCAAAAAGCCAGGGCGTCGGAGCTCGGGGGGCGCCCAGGAGCACCGAGAGGCCCGGGGGCTCCAACAAGAAAAAAACCGACGAGCTGAGCACTCCAGATTTCGTAATAAAGGGAGGGGGGTCTCGTTTCGGGGGGGTCTCTTCCAGGCTATCTTGGAGGGCCTGGGGGGTCTGGGGACGATGTTTTGGAGGGCTCTCCCACGGGGGAGGTCTGAAATGGCTTGTCTTGGAGGGTCCAGACCCCCTCCCTTTTATTACGAAATCTGGAGTACACCTTTCGGCTACACGTAGGAGTGGCCCTGGGTAAGAGTGGCCTCTGATGCGCAGCTTCTGGGGGGCCACGGGGAGGCCAGATCCAGGCGCGCTGGCCGCTGCTGCCGCTTCGCGTTCGGCCATCTGGGGGCCCCTTTGTGCCCGCACCAGACCCAGACCCCCGACGTAATGATTTTTTCATTACGTCGACTCCAGAATTCCCGACCCCTTCCCCAGGACCGGTTTGTCATCCTGAGTCGTTTTTTGACGCTCCCGAGGCCCGGTGAGGGCCCCCGGAGGCCGAAAATGACGAAAAACCTCCCGTCGTGATTTTTTCATGACTCGAGGGGGTCTGGGTCTGTGCCCGCACAAAAAGGTCACTCCGGCGAAAGGTCACTCTTGCGTCTGGTCGAACCTCTGGGCCGAGGGCACCTCTGGCAGCCCCAGAACTCGGGATCGCCCGGGCCGGCCCCGCCGAGGTCGGGGCGGGGAGTCATGGGGGCGGCAGCGAGAGGCCGGGGGTGGGAGCAGGAGGAGGAGGAGGATCGAGAGGAGGAGGAGGAGGAAGAGGAGGAGAGGAGAGGAGGAGGATCGAAAGGAGGGAGGAGGAGGATCGAGAAGAGGAGGATGAGGAGGAAGGAGGAGGAGGAGGACGAGATGAGAGAGGAGTAGGAGGGATCGAGAAGTAGGAGAGGGGAGAGGTAGGAGAGGAGATCGAGAAGACCCCGCGCGGGGGGGGGTCGGTGCGAAGTCGAGGCGGGGCGAGCATGTTGGCAGGGGCGGCCCTGGGCAACCCGGGCAAAAACTCGGAGCGGAGTCTCGTCGGGACGGAAGTGGGCAGGGGGGGGCACGCACGCCCACACGCACACACACACACGCACACACACACACCCACACACACACACACACATACACGCGCGCGCGCACACGCACGCGCACACGCACGCGCACACACACACACACACACACACACACACACACACACACACACACGCATACACACACACACTTTTTGGTATCGCGGCAAACTCGGAGCGGAGTCTCGTCGGAACGAAAGTGGGCAGGGGGGGTGCAGCAGGAGAAGGGCCTGCGAGGTGAAGCAAAAGACGATACCGAGCCCCTCCTGAGCCGAAACGGCTCCAGAAATCACACGGAGGAGGAGCGGGTGGACGCTGAACGCTGAGCAGAAGGGGGGGCAATGCGGGAGCAGGAGAAGAAGGACGACGACGACGACGACGACGACGACGACGACGACGACGACGAGAGTGACGGAGAGTATGTGGGGAAGGATGTTGATGCTGATGCTGATGATGATGATGATGATGATGATGATGGTGATGGTGATGATGATGATGATGATGATGATGATGATGATGATGATGATGATGATGATGATGATGATGGTGGTGGTGGTGGTGGTGGTGATGGTGGTGGTGCTGATGATTATGATGCTGAGGACGATGATGATGATGATGATGATGATGATGATGATGATGATGATGATGATGATGATGATGATGATAATGATGATGAAGAGGAGGAGGAGGAGGAGGAGGAGGGAGAAGGAGGAGGCGGAGGAGGAGGAGAGGAAGACGGAGGAGGAGGAGGATGAGGCCGCAGCAAGCGAGAACTTAGTGTCCACCCAACGAGGAGGAGGAGGAGGAGGAGGAAGAGAAGCAAGGGAGGATGTTGAGGAGGAGGAGGAAGAGGAGGAGAGGGAGGAGAGAGAGGGGAGGGATGGGGAGGAGAAGGGGAAGGGGGAGGGGGAGAGGCAGGAGAAGGACCTCCAGGAGGAAGGGCAGCAAAAGGCTGATGGACGGGTGCAGGGGAGCAGCAGGACAAGAAGAGGGGGGCGAGGGGAGGAGCAGGACAAGAGACGAGGAGGTGGAAGCGGAAGGGAGTGGCGCGAGTAAGACGGGTGTAAGGGGAAGAACGTGCACACCCTGGGGTGGAGGACGCAGATACGGAAGAAGAGGAAGAGCGGGAGTACCCCTGGAACCCCGAGAACGCCGAACCCACCCGTCCCAGGAAGCCCTGGACATTTAAGAAACGCGAAGACCCTCCTCCTGCTACTCCTGCTCCTCCTCCTCCTCCTCGTCCTCCTCCTCCTCCTCGTCCTCCTCGTCCTCCTCCTCCTCCTCCTCCTCCTCCTCCGTTTCCCTCCTCATCCTCCTCCTTCTCCGCTTCCTCCTCCTCCCCTTTTCGTCATCATCATCATCATCATCAGCATCATCATCAGCAGCATCATCAGCATCATCAGCATCAGCATCCGCAGCATCATCAGCAGCATCACCATCATCAGCATCATCGACACCAGCACCACCACCACCATCATCAGCATCATCATCGCCATCATCACCATAATCAGCGTCATCCTCCTCATCACCATCATCAACAACAGCATCATCACCATCATCAGCATCACCATGATAAGCACCATTCGCATCAGCATCTTCATCATCAGCAACATCAGCAACCACATCATCATGAGAAGCACCATCGGCATAAACATCGGCATCAGCATCCTCTGCGTCATAATCATCAGCAACATCGGCATCATCAACATCATCCGCGTCATCAACAGCATCAGCAGCATCGTCATGATCATCGTCACCACCACAATCACCACAATTTTATAATCCTCATCAGCAGCATCATCATCGTCATCATCACCATCATCATCAGCATCACCACCACCATCAACATCATCATCAGCAGCACCATCAGCATCGTCACGTTCATCATCAGCAGCATCAACATCATCATAATCAGCATCGGCAGCATCAACATCATCATCACCACCATCGTCATCACCAACCAGCATCATCATCATCATCATCCTTATCATCATCATCATCATCATCATCATCATCATCATCATCATCATCATCATCATCATCATCATCATCATCATCATCCTTATCATCATCATCATCATCATCATCATCATCATCATCATCATCATCATCATCATCATCATCATCATCCGCATCATCATCGTCGTCGTCATCACCATCATCATCACCATCATCCTCATCCTCATCAGCATCATCCCCCTCATCCTCCCCCCTTCTCTCAACCTCCCTGGGCTAGCGCAGGGAAGCTGACGACGTGGAGGCGGAGGCGGAGGCGGAGGCGAGGCGAGCGCGCGGTTCCGCCGGGAGCGGGGCCCTTGAGGGCCTGCGCGGGGGGTCCGAGGCCCTCCATGCTTGTAGTCTTTGTTTGCCGAGGCCGGGGGGCTGAAATATGAACTGGTGAACGCCGGAGGTCAAGCGGTGCAAGTGGAAGTGGGGAGTCGGAATCCGGATGCTGGAGTCGGAGTGCTGGGTGGTCGGCAGGTGGAAGTGGAGGTGGAAAGTCGGATGCTGGAGGGCGGAGGTCGGAGTGCTGAGCTGCTGGACGCTGGAGGTCGACGGGTGGAGGTGGAGGTGGAAAGTCACATGCTGCCGGAGGGTGGAGGTCGGCGTGCTGCGTTGCTGGACGCTGGAGTTCGACGGGCGGAGGTGGAAGTGACAGTCGGGATGCTGGATGCTGGAGCCGGGAGTGGCGAGCTGGAAGAAGCTGGAGGTCGACAGGTGGGGGTGGAGGTGAAAAGTTGGACGTCGCACGCTGGAAGCCGGGATTTGGGCGCGAGAGTGGAGGGTCGGAAGGTGGAGGCCAACAGCTTGGAATTGGTGTGCATGTCCAGCTCGCTTCGCTTCGATTCCACATCTCGGCGGACGGGCCGGGTGTCTCGGT